GTTTGACAGCACTAATATATATATATATATATATATATATATATATATATAATTATTTAGTAAGTTTTATAACTTGAAAAAACTACATATTTTACAAAGAATGTTTTAGATTACATTATATTAAAACTGATTTGAGAAAACTGATCACATTTTTTTTAATTATTAAAAATTAAAATAAAGAATTAGACATCTATAAATACTTATTTACCTATAAATAATTACAAATAAAGATGTTATAATATAATATATTTTTTATACAAAAAACCATATAGCTGCCTCTTAAATTTTAGGATGGGGGTCCGTTGCATGAGAATGATCATATTTGTACCTTGTTTTGGACAGAAACATTTAGTCAGCCTCATGTTTTCATTGAGAAGGCAATCGCACAATGCGCTGCAGCAAGTTCAGAGGAAATAAAAATGAAAGATGATGGACAAAACCGTACAGTTTCAGGAAAAAATATTCAGTCTAAATAAGAATTAACTACGTTAACCAATATTTGTGTCTTTTATGTATTTTTATGCTTTTTACAATATAGCATGTTTAGGTTAGCAACATGCTAACAACAAACTCTCAGTCAGAGTCAATTTTAACAGTCACAAAAACAGACTGCTTGTTCCATAACTGCAGGCTTCAAAGAAATTTGACCTGATAAACAAATAAAGGCTACTATCCTTACCTGGACAAGTGCAATTCCAGTCATCAGAATGACTAGTGAGAGCCACTGGTAAATGCCGAGTATTTTGCCCAACATGGACACGGAGAACAGGGCTGTAGTGAGAATTTTCAGCTGATACGTAACCTGGAAAACCAATGAGAAGGTAAATAAGGTATGCCTATAAAGAAACACGACTTTTTTTTTTTAAGAGAAAAATTTGTTTGTTTGTTTTCCATTGAGAATGGTTTTTTGAAGGATCATGTGACACTGAAGACTGGAGTAATGATGCTGAAAATTCAGCTTTGCATCACAGAAATAAATTACATTTTAAAACACATTCAAACAGAAAACATATTTTAATTTGTGAAAATATCTCACAATGTTATTTCCACGGAGCATGCAGATTTCTGTAAAAATGTCAACAGGTTTCTGCAGAATTTGAATGTTTGTTATTCATGAAATTATTCACATAATAAACATTTGAAATGGAGTGACACAAAGAGGAGTTTACTGAAGGAAATATTTCACTTAAGCAACAGTGTCATAGCTAACTATATATAAATATAGATATATTTATAACAATAAAAAGTGTTATAAATTGATTATATTTGAAGACATTTTGAAGAAATACAATGCTGTATATCTCAAGTAAATACAAATGTTCATAGAGGTGTTCCAAATATTAATTAGTAACATTGCATAATATTTCTGGAAATTACACACACACACATTGTATGATATAACATGTTTTTGGTTAATGACATGTATTAATAACATATTTTATTTACTCAAATCAATTCTAAATAGCACACAACTCTTATTAAAACTGAAAATATGAAAAAGGTGCCACATTGGCATTTTGTTTCTATGTTTCAAATGATCTGGAAACTTTCCTAAAGGTCTTCCTCTGGATTTGTGCTTTCTCACCTGGTAGGTAGCTGCATCTAGATTTGACAGAGCCACATAGAGCAGGTTGTTCTGCAGGGTGTAGATACCTGAGGGAATGGCCAGCTTCAGCGTTAGCAGAGGCTTGTTGATTATTTCCTCCTTCAACACCCGATTCAGCGCACGAACACTGAAACCTAAGAGGCACATGCAGCACTGCACATTAGACAGTGAGCTTCTGCAGCGAGGGACAGCTCTCCTCTACTGCTCTGAGCTCCTGACAAGAATGAGAATGCTGTTTCAAAACACCAAAGGACACTGAATATTATGCTTGTTTCCGAAACAGGATAAAACATTTAGTTAACTGGGAGTTTTTTCTCACAGTTCTTAATTGTCAGATACAATCTCAAAATTGTGAGAAACAAAGTCAGAATTGTGAGATATAAACTCAGAACTGTGAGGAAAAAAAGTGTATATTGTGAAATATAAACTCAGAATTGCAAGAATATAAATCTGAATTGTAAGATATAAACTCTAAATTTTGAGAAATAAAGTCAGAATTGTGAGATATAAACTCAGAATTGCAAGAATATAAATCTGAATTGTAAGATATAAACTCTACATTTTGAGAAATAAAGTCAGAATTGTGAGATATAAACTCAGAATTGCAAGAATATAAATCTGAATTGTAAGATATAAACTCTACATTTTGAGAAATTTTATTTTGGATGCGATTAATCGTTTGACAGCACTAATATATATCTATATTTTAACAGCATTTATTTGAAATAGAAATATTTTGTAGCACTATAAATGTTTTACTGTCACTTTTGTTCCATTTAAAGTATCCTTACTGAATAAAATTAATTACTTTAAAAAAATATTACTGACCCTAAACTTTTGAACAGTAGTGTATGAATCAATATCAAAATATAGATTTGAATAAGTAACTGACAAATACCTCTTTTCAAAATATTTTAGGTTAAACTATAAAATATATAATTATATACAGTGGGTACGGAAAGTATTCAGACCCCCTTAAATTTTTCTTCCTCATTAATGTACCAGCCATTTGAAAATCATTTAAGTTAATTTTTTTTCCTCATTAATGTACACACAGCACCCCACATTGACAGAAAAACACAGAATCGTTGACATTTTTGCAGATTTATTAAAAAAGAAAAACTGAAATATCACATGGTCCTATATAACAAAGAGTTAAAAATTGAAGGGGGTCTGAATACTTTCCGTACCCACTGTATATATATAAAACATATAAATGCATTAATACAGAGTAAAGAATTAACAACACTACTTGGTATAAACCCATAGTGCATTACTAATGCATTTCTAATAGTTTTCCCATGCCTCCAAACCATTAAAGCATTATACATCACTAAATAATAATGGCCTTGTTTGATTATTAACACCTCAAGGGAGACATCGCAAAAATCATGTAACTGTTCATTTGTCAGTTTGTTAAAGGGTTAGTTCACCCAAAAATGAAAATTAGCCCATAGATTACTCACTCTCAAGTCATCCTAGGTGTATATGACTTTATGTATATTCATCAGCCCGGAGCTGCTTCTGTGTACAACTGTTGGTGCAAGCTACATTAAAGTGATTATTACGTTTTGAATATGGATATTTTTCTTACAAAAACGCATCGATTCACTACAGGAGGCCTTTGTTCATCCCCCGGAGCCATGTGAGACACTTCTTTTTTAATGGATGGGCGCTTTTTATTTAACTTCTTTTGGACTGATGCACTGCAACACCCGCTGACTGCCATTAACCGTTTAATCCCAAATTTTTCCCAGACATGAAAATATCCAAATGATGTGCCATTAGTAACCCTTTGAAATTATCAATAATTATTTTTTAAAATGTTTTTGGAAAAGTGTGTGAAAAATTGTGTTTTATGGCGGGATAAGTGAGTACTGAATTAACATATTTCTGCAGTCATAAAAATAGTTATATATCTTAGCCCAGCTATTTTAAACTGCTTGATCACATTCTAGGGTTATTCTTATTATGCATAAAAAAAAAAACTTTATGCAGCATTGATAGGAACACTGTCCATCAACGCATTTCACAATTTTTAATTATTTGTAAAATATAACATCAAATTTTTATATTAGTGCTACCAGTATTACAACATCAATATTGTACATTTTTTGTAACATTTGAATTTTTTATTTAGTGCAATATATTGTCATTGCAACATTTTAGTGTAATTTTCACTAGCAATTGCAATTGGATTTATATTGTAAACCTAAGTGCACTGTTATCCCACCGGTCACTATTGTGACCATCATCATGTTTACTCATTCTATGACCACACTCAACAAAACTGAATATATGTGAATAAAAGCACTAAAACATCAGTCAGTAAGGTTTTTAGTGACAATTTGCACTAATCATGTGAAACTGCACATATTTCATTGAGGCCCTTTATTTTTTCCATATTTGCAGGAAGTGCAATAAAACATAAGTCAGTAAGGTTTTTAGAGCTTTAGAAATGAAAACCTTTTTTACGGTCACTATTGTGACCGGTGGGATTAAACTGGATTCGTCTGAAAGAAGAAAGTCATATACACCTAGGATGACTTGAGGGTGAGTAATTTATGGGCTAATTTTCATTTTTGGTCAACTAACCCTTTAAAATAAAATCTGGCATTCACCATGAGAAAATGCCACCTACCTTCAGCACTCATGCATATTCATTAACTATGGCATTAAATAAGCTCTCATATATCATGCCTTGAGAGTCCACATGTCTTTACAATACAATATACACAAACTCTGATAGTTTCACAGATCAATGATCCTCACTCACCCCAGTTAAAGCCATCGCAGCGGTGTCATTGCTGAGTTTGCATTCAGTCTTTTTGAGCAGCTGTGTTTCAGCAGATACAGTATCCTTTCAGTGTAGGTACTGAGAAAGCATGCATCAGACTTGAGTAAAGAGGCCAACATGAGCCACTCCCACTGACACACAGCCGGATGGAAGGAGGATGTGATATGGTGTTGTAATCCTATATTTTCACGCAGTTTTGCTTTCACAAAGGAAAAAACTATTTGCACACTGCCAGCTGGAAAAAGCACAGTGATTAAGACAACTTGAGTCTCAAGGTCATTGAAAAAGGAGCTGGAAGTTTTAATTTAATAGATTTACATCAATGCAAATATGACTTGGCAAACAGAAGGTTTGGGTGTGATTGAGAAGGCTGGCCAGAGGTGGGGCGCACAGCACACACAGGCGGCCTTATGCAGCTCTGAGGCTGCGGTGAGGGGGGTGAACCACACAATCCTGCTCTGTGTGCAGGAGGACAACTCCTCAGCTCCTGTCCATTGAGATGCCCCCGTCACCTCCAGCGGCCTCAGTTATAAAGACATGCATATAATGTGAACACATGACAATTTTGCCTATGAACGAATCATAAAACATCCAAACACACAAAAGATTTTCCTAAATACATCCCACTTTATAAATCTTGTCAGGAATATTTAGAACAAGAATCATTATTCATTAGATGACATTAGAACACTCTGTTTAAGGATTACAGTGCAGCCCCCAAAAAACAAATTCATTGTCTTTTTAAATCTTTACAAATCTTTGCCATAATCCATCAAACCACAAGGTTTTACCCATTTATCAGCAAAACATTTTTGAAGATTTAAAATAGAATACAATTCTGTATGATCACTTTATTTTATATATTTTAACAAGTAAAGGTCAGAATAATAAGTATGGTGCTATATTTTAACAGAAATATATCTGTTACGCTTTCTACACTCTAAAAGATGCTGGGTTAAATATAACCCAGCGCTGGGTTAAAAAGGGACAAACCCAGCTATTGGGTTGTTTTGATGAATTTGATGTGGTCACCAAAATTGGATGTCTCATCTTTGACGAGGGTCAAAATTACACATATACACACACACACATACATATCCCTTATGTATATATATATATATATATATATATATATATATGTAAGTATGTATGTATGTATGTATGTATGTGTGTGTGTGTGTGTGTGTGTGTCTGGGACAAAACCATATAGGACTTTAAAAATGAAGATTCCTAAAGAAACCTGAGGCATGCAGAAAATATTTGGCACTCAGTATGCAAGTTTCGATAGAGGAAAACAAGCTACATTTCTAGTTTCACCATTATTTATTCTTCAGACATGCCCCTTTAAATAAAGTAATATCATCTGTATGCAAAGTGACCCACACTTAGTTTGAGAGCACTGAAAATGGGCAAAAACTTAACAATTTGGACATGGTGCTGCATTGAGATCCCCATATCTACGGGACTGAACCACATGGGGACTTGAAAATGAAGATTCAAAAATAAACATTTGTCAAGAACCAGAATCTAAAATCATATGGCAATATCTTGAATTACAGGCATGCAAACTTTAAAAAATTAATATTTATGGCACTCAGACAGGTGCAATTGTTTTGATAGAGGAAACAAGATCTAGTTTCAATATTTGTTCTTCAGTAAGACATTCCTCTTTAAAAGGGAAAAAAGTATCGGCTGTATTGCAAAGTGACCCGCATTTGGTTTTTGACCGCTGAAAATGTGAACAATTTAATTGTGGAGCAACACTGAGCTCCCAATATCTCTGAAACCACGTTGAACTTTAACAATAAGAATTCCAAATAAAAAGTTTGTTAAAAACCAAAATCGAAAAGGATACCTTTAAATTTAAAAGATTTGTTGTGGAGCGAGGGGCGCGAAAAAAGTTTTATTTTTTAAGTTTCTTTTTTTAATTTAAAGGTATTTTATATTATTTCTAAATGCAATAATAAACAATGTCACTTATACACTGATGCATGCTGTTGCTAGCCCCTCCAAAATTGCTTACCCTAACTTTAAGCGCAATAAGATGCAAAAGAGAACTGAACTTGCGATCGCATACGGACTCAGAGAGGCTCAGCTTATTAGTATGTCCAAATTCACAGTTTTCATAAAATCGATACTTTCAGCGAGATCTGTCCTGACCCATCGTTCTGTTTTACAAGGAAATTATTACATCATTTACATTAATGGTCAAATATCAGTCTGGTTCATCATTATCTTACAGTTCACTCAAACAACAATGGGTTTGGTAGGTAACTAATTATTTATACAAAGAAAGGAAGCAGTGTCTAACTGCAGCTACACCGCTGGAACCTGAAAGTGCAGTCTGAGAACCTGCTTTTGATTGTGAGAAGTTTCACCTCAGTCTGCTATTAATCTCAGGCACATAACAACCTCCTTTTTGTTTAACCTGGAGTTTATTAAATGTACAAATGGTGAATTTACTTTCTGTCCTGTCAGCATAAGGATGGAGGGTGTTAGCTGTAAATCAATCTTTCCCCTGATTAACCTGGACTTAACATTTTTCAAACATGACACATCCCTATGCAAAACTAGACAAACGTGCTCAAGGTAAAGTAGACAGCAAATTCATCCGTTAAAGTAAATTACTTAAAATAAATTACTTAACAATTATTATGCAATACGTTTTTAAACAAATACGAAATCTTTTTGGACAGAAATTACTATGATATTTATTTATTTCCAAACTGGTGCAGGGGGCTGTTTCATAAAACAAGTTTACCAAATAAGCCAGGTTTATTTCAGTTAGTCTGACTTCTTGTCAGTTGATTTGGTTCAACATAAGTCAGACTAACTGAAATAAGCCTGGCTTATTTGGTAAACTTGTTTTATGAAACAGCCCCCTGCACCAGTTTGGAAATAAATAAATATCATAGTAATTTCTGTCCAAAAAGATTTCGTATTTGTTTAAAAACGTATTGCATAATAATTGTTAAGTAAATTATTTTAAGTAATTTACTTTAACGGATGAATTAAATACAGTAAGATTTATTAGTAATTTTTTTAATTTTATTGTTAATTTGATCTTTTATAGTTATTTTATGGTTATTTTTAATGTAAAATATTATTTTTATATTTGTATGTAACGCACTTTGAATTACTGTATAAAATGTGCCTTGTCTTTGAATTCCGTTATTGTTTGTTGCTTAATTTAATAAATACTGGGGTTTTTTGACGTAGAAATAACGTGGACATTAACATTTTTATTCATCATTAAGATTTTAGGTTAGAATGTATATGTTAAAATTTCGTTGTCACTACTGTCAGTATATTTAACCAACTTTTTGCCTTTACCTTTGTTCATGATGTGACTGTGTGGTGGCTCGTGTTTGGGTAAAGTACATAAGAATTTAATGTTGAACAATAATTAAGATAAAATATGAATTAAAACAGAGAAATATACTAACATCTAACTATATAAAACAAAACGTATGCATTACGCTTTCAATTAGTGCTGTCAAACGATTAATCGAGATTGTTGATAGGCAGGCAGTTTCATGTCCCATTGATATTCATATATATGTGTATATATATACATTTACATTGCATTTAGTCATTTAGCAGACGCTTTTTTCCAAAGCGACTTACAAATGAGGACAATGGAAGCAATATATATATATATATATATATATTAGTGCTGTCAAACGATTAATCGCGATTAATCACATTCAAAATAAACGTTTTTGTTTACATAATATATGTGTGTATACTGTGTATATTTATTATGTATATATAAATACACACTCATACAGTATATATTTTGAAAATATGTACATGCATTTACATGTATATATTTTTATTTATATAATTTATATTATAAATATATTTAATATACAAATACAACATATTTTTCTTAAATATATACATGCATGTGTGTGTATTTATATATATACATAATAAATATATACATTGCACACACATATATGATGTAAATAAAAACTTTTATTTTGGATGCGATTAATCGCGATTAATCATTTGACAGCACTGGTATCAATATATTAATGTTGTGTTTCTCCTCCTGACCACTGGACGCCAGTGTCGAGCTAAACAGCCTCGCATTCCTTACAGAAAACGCCGTGAAAGAAAAGCACGCGCGTGAAAGCTAATGTTAGCACGGTAACTAGAGAATAACAACTCTAGCGTTGTGATAAATATAATCGGTTTAATTCCCAAAATGGTTCGTAAATTGAAGTTCCACGAGCAGAAACTCTTGAAGAAAGTTGATTTTATTAACTGGGAGGTTGACAACAATTTACACGAGGTTAAAGTGTTGAGAAAATATATTGAGAAGAGGGAAGATTACACCAAGTAAGGAACTGTTAATAGTACTTAACCTAACATAGTGTATTTGTTTTAAGAAAATATATCTTTCTCACATGTTCATATTTTAGAGGAAGTGAATGATAGTGTCTGTCTTGAGCCAAAACATGAATCAAATACGTTTATGATCTCTCTGTAGATACAACAAACTTAGTCGAAATATCAGAGTGTTGGCACAGAAAATACGCGACTTGGACGAAAAGGACGGTTTCAGAGCTCAAAGCACAGCCCTTTTCTTGGAAAAACTAAGTGTGGGAACCTCTGGATGATTTGTGGGCACTTGAGCTGCAGTCCTGTCTAAAGGTCGAGTGTGTTTCTCTTTGTTGCAGATACAGTGTCGGTTTGATCCCCACCAAACAGAACCTCTCCCTTACGAATGAAGTCTGTGCATCTGCATTCTGCAGGTAACATTTGATCATGGACATTCATAGAAAAACAACACAATGTGCTGAACTGGTTAAGTTTAAAGCAACTAGTTGTATCTTTTGTGTCTATTGCCTGTTCCTTTTGTGTACTGTTTTTTCTGATTGCTGTCATTTTCCGCAGGAGACGACTTCCCACAATCATGCTGAAACTGCGTATGGCTCAGAACCTGAAGACTGCCATAACCTTCATCGAGCAGGGCCGTATCCTTCAGTTCATCATAAATCACACTGAACTCTACACACACACACATTATCTGCTGTATATGTTATACACATATTATGTGTATATTATCTGCATCAACTTTTAATTGACAATTTAATGACTTGTATAATTAATTTACTTGATCTTCAAATATACTTTATTCGAAAGGAATGGTTGAGCCAAAAATGAAAATTTGTCCAAACATTTACTCACCCTTGGACCATCCGAGATGTAGCTGAGTTTGTTTTTCCATCAGAACAGATGGATATTCTTCATCCTCTGCAGTGAATGGGTGCCGTCAGAATGGGAGTCCGAACAGCTGATGAAAACATCACAGTAATCCACACCACTCCAGTCCATCAATTAACATCTTTTCAAGTGAAAAGCTGCATGTTTGTAAGAAACAAATCTGATATTTAGCATTTTAACTTTAAACCATAATCCATAATACTGCTTTCTCCGGTGAAAAAGTCCATCACCTGTTGTCCTCTCACATCAAAATCCACTGTAAAGTTGATCTGGAACTGTTTTGCACAGTGGTCACTGGTAAATGGTGACTTTTGCACTGGAGGAAGCATTATTATGGATCATGGACTATAATGGGTTATGGACATATATTAGCTGGGAGCAACAGTTAATAACGTCTTAATGATGGATTTATTTGTTACAAGCATGCAGCTTTTTGCTACACAAGATGTCAGTCGATGGACTGGAGTGGTGTGGATTATTATGATGTTTTTATGAGCTGTTTGGACTCTCATTCTGATGGCACCCATTCACTGCAGAGCATCCACTGGTGAGTAAGTAATGTAATGCTACATTTCCTTAAAATCTGTTCTGAAACTCATCTACATCTTTAATTACCAGAAGGTGAGTGCATTTTTTTCCCCCTTCTTTTTTAGCAAATTTTCATTTTTGAGTGAACTGTTCCTTTAAGCTGTAATATTGCAAAGAAAATGAATCTCTTTTCATTTAAATTTGCATGAATGTCTTTGAAACTACTTCTTGACTGAGCAACAGATATTCGTGTTGGGCCTGAGATTGTCACTGATCCCGCTTTTCTCGTAACAAGGTTAGTTATGAAAACCCTCAGTACATTTTTTTTTCTGATGCCCGCTAAAGAAAAAAACAAAACACAATGTTAATTTTTATATAATGAACTTTTATATTAATCTGGGGCAACTGAAATGTAAAGTTATTGTGCAATGCTCTTACAGGAGTTTGGAAGACTTTGTCACATGGGTGGATTCATCCAAGATCAAACAACATGTCATGAACTACAATGAGGAGGTATGTCAAAGTATATTATGAACATCATCCTGTAGAGTTTATACATAATTGTACAAAAGTTTGGGGTTCCATAAGATTATAATGCTTTTGAAAGAAATGTTCATGTTTAAAAATAAGTGGTTTTCATTTGAATATATAGTAAAATGTAATTTATTCCTGTGATCAAAGCTGAATTTTCAGCATCATTACACCAGTCTTCAGTGTCACATCTTCAGATTTGCTGCTCAAGAAACATTTATCTTATCATGAATGTTGAAAGCAGGTTTTTCATGATCCTTTGGTGACCAGAAAGTTCAAAAGAAAATAATTTATTTGAAATAGAAGTCTTTTGTAACATTGTAAGTGTTTTTACTGTCACTTCTGATCAGTTTTAATCTGTCCTTGCTGAATAAAAACAGATGTCTTTCAAATATAAAAAATACTGACTTAGCTTCGAACAGTCATGTACGCAAACCTTTTATTAATCAAATGATTTCAGGAATTTTTTCATATTTAATTCATACAAACCTCCCTCTGTGGACTAATAGTCTGACATCAGACAGGTTTTTTTTAAAGGCACTAAAATGTGAATGACTTTTTTATAAATAGTGTAATCATTTAAGCACCAACAGAGTCCGATTTAATGCTATTAAGAAATTATTAAAAACAGTTATTAAACATGTTTGAACTAATTGCTCATTTAATGACTTTTTTATAAATAGTGTAATCATTTAAGCACCAACAGAGTCCGATTTAATGCTATTAAGAAATGATTAAAAACAGTTATTAAACATGTTTGAACTAATTGCTCATTTAACATTACAATTTTGTTTTTGTTCTTTCAGAGAGATGACTTTGACCTCATTGTCTAAATCTCCAAATACATTGGATTTCAACCAGAAATGGTCAGTGCATCAAGAGCAGCTGTTCATTTGTGATTCATCAACCCAATGACCAATTACCATCTTGAACCATTTTAAGTGAAAGCATTGAGTGGGACTATTGTGTATTTGCCATTAATAACTGTAAACAATTACAATTAATTAGTCTAAAGTTCCTAGAAAAGCACCTTTGCATTTTGCATTCATATCACAAATTCAAAATATATTTGACACTTACATCTGTCCCAACAAAGATGCATCAATGTTCCACCACCAGCTACAGATGTGATTTCATATAAACCCCATATATACTTTGCATAGCTCTCTTATCAATGTCCTGCGCTCAGACAAGGCAACGAGTACATCGTTAACATCTACCACGGATATATTAGTTTCTAAATAAAGGAGGGTACAACTGTAAAAAGCCAACAGCATCATGAACTCGACAAAACTTCATGGACCGCTACATTCAGTGTCTCAAACAGACACAATCTTGCGGCCAGAACAGACTCTGGTGTCTGAACCATTTTTGTGAACGAGGCCCCGAGTTTCTGCTTGAATTTGTCACATACATTCACAGCCACCAGAAGCGCACATAAACAATGAGAGTGATGAAAATCACGGCGCCGGCGGCTACTTTAGCATAGGTGGACCGAGTGTTGAGGTACTTGGCATCGCTGCGGTACTTCTTAGACAGGCTGGACAGATTACTTGCTTTGGAATCCAAAGCTGCAGAAAGAGCAGACAGAATGCTATATAATACTTTTACAAATACCACACAAGTTTTTTTCTTACTCAAATGAGCTCAAAAGTCTGAAAGCGGCTGCAGTAAGTGTTCACTCACCAGATAACGCTTCTCCACGCTGGAGCACTTCCTCTATATTAGCAACCATGATCCTTTGCACATCGTGTAACTCTGAATTGACGTTGCCCAGATTTCTTCGTGCTCTGCTGTCGATGTAAGACTTTTTGGTTTTCTGAATATATGTGTCTGGAGACAAATAGGAAATCATTTGATCTACATTGCCAAGCAACTGCTGATCCTTTTAATTAGTAAAACAGCTGTTTATATGCTACTGCTTAAAGGTTTGTGGTCAGTACATTTTTGAAATAAGTCTATTATGCTCACCTAAATTACAGAAAACACTCATACTGTGAAATATTAATGCAATTTAAAATAGCTCTTTTCTGTTTGAATAAAATGTAATTTATTCCTGTGATCATCATTACGTCAGTCCTTCAGAAATCATTCTAATGTGCTGATTTGATGCCCAAGAAACATTTATTATTATTATCAACATTGAAAACAGTTGTGCTGCTTCACATTTTTGTGGAAACCTATTCTTTGATGAACAGGAAGCATTTTTTGAAATAGAAATATTTTGTAGCATTATACAAGCCTTTACTGTCACTTCTGATCAATTTAATGCATCCTTGCTGAATAAAAGTATTCATTTATTCAAAAAAGCTAATCTTACTGACCCCAAACTTTTGAACTTAACTTTGAGCTTTCAAATCGCATTGATATATATAAGATGTTTCTTACCAAATTCGATAAAAGAGTACGGCCGTGACACTGAAGGGACTTTCGTCCCGTACTGCTCACTGAATTTTCCCTCCAGATCCTCCAGATAGGCAAACGCCAGTTTCTTGGGGAATCCTGCTTCACATAAGACCAAGTAACACACTCCTTTCTCAATGATGTAGCTGGAAAACACGACGAGTTTATGAAGTATGATGACATCCAGAATCAAACACAAACTCTGCGTGTGTCTGTCAGGGTCAGGCAAAATTCCGATTTTTAAAAATTGAACTGGCAACACACCTTACAGGATGTTGAAATGGAATTTTAATTGAACTGGCAGGAAGAAGAATTTACTCAATTGCAATTTAAAAAAATAAATAAACAATCACATAACATACACATTTTATTAGCGCCACAGATTTTGCAACAAAAATAAACCCATCATTAATGTCAAATATGCATATTTAATGTCTGATGTTTCACTAAAAAAAATGACTTTTTTTTCCCCATACACAAAATGTCCACAGCATTCATCTAAATAGAAATTAATATTAACAATAAAATTTGAATCCAATTATTATATATTGATGTTTCAATAAATAGTTTAGGGTGAATCAGATAAAGTATTTTAAAATTATGAGCTCTTCCACCATGGTTTTTAAAATATCAGGTTAAAAGTGAAAAAATCAAATACACAAGTTAATTAAATAGTAATATAATTTTCGGAAATAGCCAGGGAAAACAACATATTTATCAATAAATAAATATTTTACTTACTGAAAAAATAGATGTGTTGTTAACTCTATAAATCCTACTGTATCTCACTGATTAGAAGAAGCTATCAGTAATTATTTTACTTTTCGGCCGCATAAATATCAGCAACTGTACCTAATTACATATTTTTGCTGAATTTGGGTTTCTGAATAAAACTGAGATGTATGAGTTCCATATTTTCACAATATTCTACTGTGTGAGTCCTAAAAGCCTGATGTATCAAATATTATACTCAACAAAAACACGTAAGCAAAAGGTGCGTCCCAAATCGCATACTTATGCACTATTCTATGACGTTTTGTAGTATAAATAGTGCGATCACATTGAAAATTCCAAAAAGTGCACTTTAAAATATGATGCGATTTCAATTTTTCCTTTCTCTTTGGAGTGTTACAAGCTCTTGGTGCATAAAGATTAAACCGCATAAACACATTTCATTACACCAAATACACAAAATAATGTTCTTTTTAGCAGCATCATATGACCCCTTTAAATACCCGGATGATGCACTTAAAGCAGCACTATGTAACTTTTGGCGCTCTAGCGGTTAATAAACAGAACTGCACACATCCCGCGGAAGAACATTCCAACCGGAGCTACTTCTCTAAGTTTATGTCTATGGCGATTCACGCAGGTATGTGTTACTCCGCAGCGGTGACGACCCGACCAGGCTACAATAGTCCAAATATAAGTACTTATTATAAGTGTACAGTAGTGATTCGGAATAAGACAAAAACTTAGGTTGGAAGATGAATTAATGATGTACATAGTGCTGCTTTAAATAACCGAAAAAATTAAGTGTGGATTGTTGGACACTTAATGCACTCAACTGTCGCAGCTTTAATTATGTAGCGAAGGGGGAGGGGCTACCAGACTCCGATTATGAATGACAAAATAACCATATATAATTCATACACTACATGATTGAGTACATAGTGTATAATTTCATTGTGCGTCATTTGGGACGCAGCTAAACTTTTTTTTTTTTTTTTAAGATCTTCTGTCTAGTTTTCATGTCAGGATTAGAAGGGTTGAAATTCCACCAATTCATTCTATTTCCACAATTTATAATTACAATTTTACATCCCGTCTATAAAGCTCAATTCAAATTCAGACCGTGTGAAAGGTGTGCGTGTCAGTACTCACTGAAAGGCCATGGCTCCTGCCTCTAAAGTGCAGCGCGCGGGACTCTGATCGTTGAGTTTTCTGCAGAGCTGCTTGGCTTGACTCTGATACTTCTGCAAGTCTCGCCCTGACTGGAAAGAGCTTCACGTTAGACACTCAAAGCACTGTACAATCACAACAGCAAAGGCGCGGTAAGATCACATCATGTGTTTTAACTTTGTACAAATGTTGTAGTTAGTCGTGTTGACACGGGTTCGTTCACCTGCTCGTCCTCTTGCATTGATGCAGCGAGCGGCAGGCTGTCGGCGACACGAACAATCATCGTCAGCAGCACCATTTCGCCTGTCGTCTTTACTCTTTACCGTCGGTCTGTTTTGAAGCGAAGCGACTGATTGTTTGACTGAATGGCAGAAAGTGACACATTTGAACTGACGGCAGAGTTCAGATGAGTTGGCCGGAAGAGGGTGTGTTACCTCAAATCCTTTCCGGCTTTCGCATTCCAAAGGTTCCGATTATTTATTGATTGATTGATTTAATTCCAAATTACTAGAATGTACTCGAATGTATTTATTTATTCAACACTATTATTCAACTATTAACCCTTTAACTGTCACCCCCCATTTTTTAAAATAGGCATGCAGGTGCACTATCCAAACTTAAATTGTTGTAATTTATGAACACTTTGGAATACAGACATAAGGTTGGTCTCTTTTTAAAGAAGAAAATAAGCAAATTATTATTTTTTCAAAAAATTTAAGTATCAGAAAGTTATAGTAGTTTAAATTTACTGTAAAGAAAATGCACTATATTTATTTTATTTTATATATAATAAATATTTTAGGGGTTTAAGTTAAGGGGTTTAAGATGATGCTTTAAGTGCATCATCACTATTATTCAACACTATAAAAATAGAAAAAAGACAACAAGAAAAAGAAATAAACAATTAGAAATGGTACTACAATGACAACAAACGTCCAAAAGAGATATAGCTGTTTTTAGCATGAAATCAAAAATAATATTATTAGCTTATTATATACACAATAAAGGGAATATTTGTAGAAATGTCTATTTCTTGAAACTAGAATATATATATATAGTGCTGTCAAACGATTAATCGCAGTTAATCGCATCCAAAATAAAAGTTTTCGTTTACATAATATATGTGTGTGTACTGTGCATATTTATTATGTATACGTAAATACACACACGTACAGTATATATTTTGAAAATATTTACATTTATATACATTTATATTCTTATATATAAATATATTTAATATATAAACATAACATATTTTTCTTAAATATATTCATGCATGTGTTTGTATTTATATATACATAATAAATATATACAGTACACACACATATATTATGTAAAAAAAACTTTTATTTTGGATGCGATTAATCGCGATTAATCGTTTGACAGCACTATATATATATATTCTAGGTAATTCTATATTCTAGAAATTAGAAATTATATATATATAATTATTATTTTATTTTATTTTTGATTAGATGGACAATCATAGTTATATGGCTATTACATTTCTTGACCATTTTTGACAAACAATAACAGTCATTAGATACAGTAATATAATGTCAATTAAAAATGTATAACAAACTAAAAACACATGCATGATTCATGATGTATTCATGGATTCATTACAAAAATAACACTGTATAAGGCTTACAGTATTTACATTTAAAGAAGTAAGAATTATATTAATATAATGCTTGATTTAATTTCCCAAACAACAAATACAGGCTTTTGGTTACTAAATCAACTTCGGCTAATATAAAAAACTAAAAGTAATTTAAGAATTAACAAGCAAATGTCCAATAATAAACTTGCAAATTTATTTCACAACTATTTTATAAAAGGACGGTCCCACAGGATACGTCACGCTGATATCTTTTTACATCTTTTTTTTTTAAACCCTTTTTAATTATGTTTCTGTAATCTGTAGATCTGTCATCAGTTGAACTGCTCTGCGCTCGACTGCTTCTTTCTGTGCGCACTGATCGTTTCGCATCGATTATTCACGTCTGTGGGCTGATCTGTACTGAGCTGATCCCGCTTGAACGCTTTTCCTGATCACGAACAGCACGATTAAACTCTGCATCTGCACTGAAGGTAACATCAGCCGCATAACGTGGTTTCTTATGCCCTTACCTCATTCTATGTTCATAATTTCATTAATTCGAGTGAAGCGTATCTTTGTGTTGCGACCTTTGTTGTTGTCCTGTTCTGGTGAACATCACCAACAAATCACATCAACATCCGCTTTGATTTAATGTGCATCAATAACAGTCTGAGGCTGCAAGCGAGCGCGATGATCTGCAATTGGAGCGCAGCTCGTTGTGTGTTTGTTTATTATTTGGTTATGAAATGTTCATTATTATGCACGTTCACTACTAGGCCACAGTGCTCGCTTGCTACAAGATGCAATAATATATGTGCAATAATATACACTATATGTCAATGTGCAATACTATCTCTAGTCACTAAATCACCACAGTTACTCATTCCATTTAAATTGTACTTTTGTATAAACTTACTGTGCATATCAAGGTGAAGGCCAACGTGCAATACTATAAATGGTCACTTTACTCGGATTGCTCAATGTGAATATCAGGACTCAGTCACTTGTTGTATTTACTTGTAAAATTGTACTGTACAGTCTTATAGTATTTATTGTCTGTGGTTATATGTTTGTTTTTCTAACACCAGTCAGGAGTAGTGCTCCTAATTTCGTTGTATACAGAAAAATACAATGACAATCAAGGCGTTAAATTCAATTCAATTCAATGTTAGTTATGGAAGAAAAACTGTCGTGGGTGCTCTATGATGACTGTTATTAATATTTTTTGCTTTCAGGCCATTTTTGTTAGTTCGTGTTTGGAGCCCTGTAAGCTCCGCACCACAGCGCATCTTTATGTGAGAGGAACAGTTGTCACTTGTTTCTGAGCGCTGTGGTTTGTATGTGAGTAAGAGCGATTAGTTCAGCCTCACTGGATTGGCTGCTGCTGCTCGCAGCTCTTTTGGTGCCACACAAGGGCCCTTTATGCGAGGCTCCAGCTGGACATGCTGCATGTCTGCTCTGATTGGATGATTCTCATGCACGAGAAATGACGTCTTCCTGCAATTATAAAAGTCTGCTCTTATGAGACACTCTTATGGTTTAAAACCAAAACCAGTCAGAAGGGGCTTTTTTTTTTTTTTTAATTGAGATGTATACATCATCTGAAAGCTGAATAAATAAGCTTTCCATTAATGTAAGGTTTGTTAGGATAGGACAATATTTGGCCGAGATACAACTATTTGAAAATTTGGAATCTGAGGGTGCAAAAAAATCAACATTTTGAGAAAATCGCCTTTAAAGTCACCTTAGCATTGCATATTACTAATCAGAAATTAAGTTTTGATATATTTACGGTAGGAAATTTACAAAATATCTACATGGAACATGAAGTTTTATTTTGTCATAAAAGAAAAATTGATGATTTTGACCCATACAATGTATTGTTGGCTATTGCTAGAAATATACCCGTGCTACTTATGACTGCTTTTGTGTTCCAGAGTCGCAAACACATTTGCCAATTTTAGTATAAAGATTATGATGGAATGTTATGGTAGTATTTGCCTATTTAAAGGCATAGTTCTGCTGAAAATGATAATTCTGTAATGGTGATTTTATGAGTGGTTTTTTTTTTACTTTTAATGAGTAATTTTATTTCAAGGTAACAGTGTACCGTATTGGCTTGAATATAAGACGACCCTGATTATAAGATGACCCCCCTTTTTCCAGATGTACCTTTTGGAAAAAGGCTTTTTACGTCTTATATTCGGGTCAATACGGTATATCATGATATAGTCATTTTTGCTTTAAATAAGGTCTTTATGATATCAAAATAAAAAAAAGCACTCAAGCTCACTGAAGTAAACAGTCAGTAATTAAATAAGAATAAGAAACTAATTACAAGCCATAGGACAAAAAAAAACTATTAATAAATTCTACATACATTGTATAAAGTAATCAAATGAATAAAAACACTGCATATTCTTCACTATGTAAATTAAATGTTTTGTTTTTTTTTAGTAAAGTTACAAATGTGATCTAGTCAAGAGCAGCGAGAGATTTTCTCTTTTGTTGTTTGATTAACATGAATGACTGCTGTCACTTTAAGAGCTGCCCGGATCCAATATACTGTTAAACGTTTTTATATGATTGTCCATTAACATTCAAGTCAGTGGTGGTGTCCGGTGTAAAAATGTAGTGCTACAACTGAAAATATTCAGCTAAAGCGGGGGGGGGGGACATCTGTTTCGGCAAAAGCAGTTTTGGAAGGCCGAAATGGTGATGTTTGAAGCGTTTTGACTTTGAATAATCTACAGGTAAATTAGTAGCAATAACAAACCATAAGGTAACAATAACAGTTGTTTGATTAACATGAATGACTGCTGTCACTTTAAGAGCTGTCACTTTAAAATTCATATAAATCAAATTTATATGATTGTCCATTAACATTCAAGTCAGTGGTGGTGTCCGGTGTAAAAATGTAGTGCTACAACTGAAAATATTCAGCTAAAGCGGGGGGGGGGGACATCTGTTTCGGCAAAAGCAGTTTTGGAAGGCCGAAATGGTGATGTTTGAAGCGTTTTGACTTTGAATAATCTACAGGTAAATTAGTAGCAATAACAAACCATAAGGTAACAATAACAAAAAATTATGCTAGAGTAGAAACAAGTAAAATTTGTATATATCTCAGTCTGCCAAACTTTACTTGAAGAAATGATTTAATATTACCCAAATGTAATGTATTTATTTAAACTTTGTTTTCGGATGAAAACTTTAGATGAAAACTTTATTTATATTTCAATATTTCGGTAAACAAAAAAAAATCGATGCATTACAGTAAAAACATTGACTTTTTTTCTCTCAAAGGCAAAAGAAAGTTATACAGGTTTGGAACAACTTGAGAATGAGTATCAAAAAAATTATTTTTGATTTATTTTTTGAGATTTTGCGAAATACAAAAATCTCAAAAATTACTTGCCAAACTTCCATTTTGACATTTTGAAAAATGACATTTTTCAAATCGGTTAAAAATTATATAAACATTGTTTCTTACTCTCAAAAAATGCTAAAAAAAAAAAATATATATATATATATATGCTGATTTAGGATTTAGGATTGGTCCCTGCATCCCTCTGTTGGCTGTTCCCGCTTCTCCCATTCATTGTAATAGCAGTGGTCCATCTCAGCTACACACAATCTCTGGTTAAGCTAATTTATATTTGTTTTAGACCATTAGACATGACATTACAGTGCCTTGGAAGCCTGCCCGAAACCAGTGTTCTTAGGAGGAACTTTGATACACAGAAGCAATGTTTAGTCATTGACTGACTGGACAACAAGCTGCACAATCTAGGCCACTTCTGGTTGTCAGATATCCATAGTTAATATGGCCAAACTGTACCTGCAGTTACATGCAATGACATTA